TTGCTGTTTTGAGATGGGCTGGTGGGGATACGCGAAGCGTGAAGAATTTCCTGGCAGAACTCGGGGACTGGGGCCGGATAGTCGTCGCGACTGTCGCCACTTTCGTGGGCTCCTGGGAGGCACGGAGGAATGCCAAGCTGCGCGGATCCTTTAAGACCACATTCGAGCACTCCTGGGAGGCACGACGGCGTGCAGGGCAGCGCAGGTCCAGCCGAGAGCTCGCGGCTCCGTCGGGGGCTGCGAACTGCGCAACTGACGCCACATTCGAGCACTCCTGGGAGGCACGACGGAATGCTTGGCAGCGCAGATGCAGAGCCGCTTGGGGCCTCTTGGGGGCCTCAAGGGGCGGAGAGCTCGAAATGTAGTTTCGTGTTCCCCCTCAGGGGTTAGGGCCCTCGTGGTCTGCCTTAGAGGCCTCTTGGGCCGTCTGGGGGGCCTCTTGGGCCGTCTCGGCAAGCCGTGTTGGAGCAATCTTTGGGGCATCTGGGACCGTCTTGGAGCGTCGGAAAGCCAAAAAGGCAGGAACGCAAAAACCCATCAAACATATAAGGAACATCCATGATAGTTGCCTCTTGGGGCCCTTTCAGGGGTGCTCTTGGAGACCCCTTGGGTCGTGTTGGAAGCCGTTTGGGCCGTCTGAAGGCCATCTTGGGCGTGTTAGAATATGGTTCGGCGACTCTTGGTCCTCCCGGACAGTCTAGGAGGCCTCTTGGGGCTAGTTTCGTGTGTTTTGAGGCTGTCCTGGGCCGTCTGGGGGCGTCCCTGGCGGCCTGGTCTCGGGGGCCCCGTACTGGCCCCCCCCGCCTCGTGCCCAGGGATCTCTAATTATTTCTCTCTGTCTCTCACTCTTTCCCTCTCTCGCTGAATATATATATATATATATATATATATATATATATATGTATATACACACACAAACACATGTTATAAACGTACACACTATGTGTACGCATGCATGCATACATACATAGAAACATGCATACACACATGCATACAGACAGGCAGAGAGACAGACAGACATACAACCACACATACATACACGCACATGCATACGTGCAAACATACATGCATACACACATGCACCCATACATACAGACATACAAATACAAATACAAATACATACATACATACATACAAGTACACATATTTGTATATATACATACATACAAATATGCATATATAGAATGCACGCATTGCGTACATACATACATACACGCATACATGCGTACATGCGTACACGCATACATACATACATACATACATACATGCATGCATGCATGCATGCATACATACATACATACATTCATACATACATACGTACATCCATACATACCTACATACATACATACATACATACACGCCTACCTACATACCTACATACCTACATACCTACATACATACACACATACACACATGCATAGATGCACACATACATTAGTACAAACATGCGCAGATACATACATGCATGCACGCCTGCACACATTCACCCACGTGCATGCACGCATGCATACAAACATGTATACATGCATGCATGCATGCATACATACATACACACATGCGTACATACATGCATACATGCATGCATACATGCACACATTCACACATACACATACACATACACACATATACCCATACACACATGCATGCATGCGTGCATGCATACATACAGACACACATGCATACACACATGCATACATGCACACATACATACATGTATGCATACATGCATGCATGACTCCGTTCATACATGCATGCATGCAGGCACCACGCACACCCATACATACATACAGCCATGCATGCATGCATACATACATGATTGGTTGTATACTTACATACGTGCATGCATACACACATGCATACATACACACATACACACATACATTCGTACACCCATTCGTTCATCCATATACATATGTATATACGTATGTGCGTTTACACCTGCAAACATACATACATGCGTGCATAAATACATGTTCATACACATGCATATATACATCCATATGTATACATGAATATATGTATATGTGGATTGCGCGCGGGCTCCTTGGAGGATTGGATCAAAAGGACACTTGGAATATTATTTCCCCGCTGGGGTAATCGCTCAGGCATAAGCCGCCATCGTCGTCGGCGCGCCCTCGTCGTCGTCGTCGTCGTCGTCGTTGTCCTCGGATGCGTACTCGCAGAAGGCCGACTGAGTGCACCAGAAGGGCCCTCCTCCAACTCCTCCTTCTCCTCCTTCTCCTCCTCCTTCTCCTTGTAACATTAACGACACTTCAGGGTTACCGTGGTGCTCCTCCCACCTCTCCTCGTCCTTATTCACGTCCTCCTTCTGGCACGCTTGCCTCTCCCTCTCCAAGTTTCCCCCCGTCCAGCTCCATGCCGTCCCTCAAGATCTCCTTCTTCCTATACTTAGTGGAGACCCATGCCAAGAAACAACCTGCTTGGGTGCCCTGGGTTTCTTGGGTTTCGATGGGTTTGCGGTGAAAAGCGTGACGTTCCCACACCAAAAATCAATGAACATCCTAGGGTCTCAGGGTTGGGTTTCTCGTGGAAGGCTTCTTGTGGCCTGGCCTCCACTGCAGAGGAACAAGCAACACATGGGCCAACCATTCGGAAGTCCGCGCGGATTTCTTGAGTCAGCGCTGGACCCTCTTTCACGGAGCGCAATTCGAGGCCTCCTTGATGGGGTCGGAGACAGTGGGGTCGGAGGATCGCGCCACATCGCCGATACGGGGGGCGATGCATCGGCGATGCATCGTTGATGCGCAAGTGATGCACCGTCGACGTAGGCGGCACATCGGCGACGCCGGCGTGGGGAAATACGGGCTCCACATCGGCGATGCATCGGCGATGCGGCGCGATCCTCCGACCCCGTCTCCGACCCTATCTAGGAGCCATGTAGCAAGCGCGACGGGAGGCGGGGCCCGGGGCGCCACGGGGGGGGGGGGGGTCCAACGCCGACCCCAGGACTTCCGCGCGGACCCCGCAAGTCTGCGTTCGTGCTCCTTCTCCTCCTCCCTCCCTCCCTCCTTCCCTCCCTTAGGTCGGGCCTGTGGAGGAAAAAATCAAATATTTATAAAATGGCACTAAAAATACTCTGTAATGCAAAAAAATAGTCTTCATACTATTTTTTAACAATTTTTGAATTTTCCTCCTGCAGAGGGACAGGCCCGACTTAATCCCTCCTCCATTCGCTCTTCCCTCCATTCGGGCGTCCAGAAAGGTGGGCAAGGGCCAGAGGCGGAGTCGGAGGAAGTGGGCTCCGCACGGCTCCTGGGACGAGGGACAGCCTGGCTTCCAGCAGGCGGGCTCCTTCCCTGACCCCATGGGCATCGTTCAACCGACCCCTATCCCTTTGGACGTGGCCTGGGCCCCAATGGCCGATCGACGCCCTGTAGATGGGGACATAGGCCGTTCCCTTCGGGTTTCGAGGTGTGTGTCCCAACTGGGGTGCAAAGGATGCTGGGGGTCTGGACTAGAAGGAGAAAAAACACAAAAACATAAACTTTTGGCGCTCCGCGCGAATTTCGTACATTAGCTTTTGGTGCTCCGCGCGAATTTCGTACATAAACTTGTGGCGCCCCGCGCGAATTTCGTGCATCGGCGCTGGACCCACCTCCTTGGCGCGCGGAGCGCGCCAGGGGCGGCGCCGGAGGCGCCGCCGGGCCCAGGCGCGGGTCCAAGAAATCCGGGCGGAGCGCCAAGAATTTGTGTTTATATTTTGTTTTGTTATTCGAGATGGGGATGGGGATTGGTTAAACGATACAATCAACCCGCACAGTAAGGATGCGCGGTAAGGATGCAAGGGCCTTGGACGCCCATGCCGGCAAGGATGCACAGTAAGGATGCGCGGTAAGGACGCAAGGGCCTTGGGCGCGATACACGTCGTTCGGAAGAAGTAGGTGAAAACATGAAATAGGAAGGCGGATATAGTGGATTGGGCCCAGGTCCTCCCAGAGGGTAACGAAATACAGCAAAAGCATGTCGATTATTGAAGTCGGAAGGCGCTTGAAGTAGATTGGCATCTGGGACTCCAAAAATACCTACTTTCAACGACCGGCGTGTACCGATCTTGGGCTACAGCCCAGGCGGGGCCACAAGAGCGTGGACCAGGAGCACGAGGCCCCCACCGCAGAAGGCGGAGGGGCCCAGCGGCGCAGGGCACACACTTAGGTCGGGCATGTCACCCTAAAAAAGAGGACTTAGGAAGCACTAGAAGATGTGCAAGCCATTCTCGGACATTGTCAACCTTAGCAACAGATGCAAAACATACCAAAAATGGTCAAACATTGTGAACAGTCTTCCCCAGACTGTTTCCCCAGACTGTTTCTGGACTATTCTTAAATACTCCTCCTGTAGAGGGACACGCCCGACTGAAGCACAAATGCACCCCTGACGGCCCTCGTGCACCTCCCACCCTCTACGGACGCCCGGTCGGTGGTCCCCCGTCGCAAGCCCGCCCCGATGTGGAGGCCGCGCCTTGCGGACGCTCACCTCGCAGGGCCCCTCGGCCACGGAAACCTGGGGCCGCCAGGGGTGAGGGCCCGGGGAGGGCGGGGGGCGAAGGAATGGGAATGGGAAGGGGGCCGCGGACAGACATCGGGCACTACCCACTTGGAAAGAGAAAAACCATGAGTCTGCAACCCCGGCGGAGCCTGCCCAAGAGGAGGTGAGGAGGCGGACGAAGGGGGGGGGGGCGGCGAGGGGCATGGGAATGGGAACAGGACCGCTGGCAGAGCCACGGCATCAGACCCCACTTGGGAGGCGAAGCCTTGCGTCGCAGAGGCCCCGCTGCAGCCTCCCCGAAGGGAGGCGAGGAGGACGAGGGGTGGGCGGCGAGGAGGGGCAGGAAGGGGGGCAGAGGGCGCGGAGGACCAGAGGAGGGCATGGGCAGCAGGACGGGCCCGGGCGGCGGACGGGGGATGAGGCTGAGGGCTGGGAGGAGCGAAGACAGCAGGCGGAGGAGACGCGGGAGGTCGACTCGCGCGCGCGCGCGCCCTGTCTCCCGCGCCTGCTCCACCGCGCATCCTCTGCTCACGCCGTGCCCAAGAGAGGGGAACACCACTGAGGGGGTCGCCACCCTCGCGGGGAGGGAGGGCCCCCCCAGGACCCCCCGAGCCCCGCCCAGACGTCCGACACGCCGATGGTCCAGCAACGTCCTCCATCGATGCTCTGTCCTCGATCCTCAGGGGGAGCTGGCGACCCGCCTGGCGTTGACCCCCCGTGGCGTTGCCTGACCTGCGGCGGCAACTGGCCGCGCGGGTGCCCGGTGGCCGAGGAGGAACGAGGAGAGGGGGGGGGGACTGGCTTTGTGGATGCCCTGAGCATGGACACTCTAACCTCTCTGCCACTGACAACAGAATGGACTTCAACTGTCATCCGTATGCGTGAGACATGCTCGAACCATGTTTCAAGCATGGTTTGGCACTTTCGAATATGTTAAGCATCTGGAGAGGATTTGACAATACGCCTCCTCTCCATGGATCGTCTTCCACAAGGTTGGCTCACTCGAGGGGGGGGGAAACCCTGACCTGGAATCGGCGAGGCATGGCCGAGAGATCGGCGGCAGGCCCCCGACAGCACGCGCACCACGGTCCTGGGCAGGGTGCGACACCCAGCTGAGGAGGAGAAGGAGGAGGAGGAGGAGGAGGAGGAGGAGTAGGAAGATGAGGAGGACGACAACGAGGAGATGGAGGAGGAGGCGGCGGAGGAGGAGGAGGACGAGGACGAGGAGGAGGAGGAGGAGGAGGAGGAGGAGGAGACGAGGAGGAGGAGGCGGAGGAGGAGGCGGAGGAGGAGCAGGAGGAGGAGGAAGGGAGGAGGACGACGAGGAGAAGGAGGGGAGGAAGAGCAGGAGGAGGAGGAGGAGGAGGGGGAGCAGGAGGAGGAGGAGACGGAGGAGGAGGAGGAGGAGGAGGAGGAGGAGGAGGAGAGGAATGATGATGATGATGATGATGATGATGATGATGATGATGAGGAGGAGGAGGAGGAGGAGGAGGAGGCGGAGGAGGAGGAGGAGCAGGAGGAGGAGCAGTAGGAGGAGGAGGACGGATCTGTGGATCTGGCTCGTGGGTGCCAGAGCCACGCGTCAGGGAGAAAGTACCCCGCGAAGCACGAGGCCAACGCCGCCCGATCTGGTGACGGAGCGCGAGGATTACGCATGGAACCTGGACCCGTCCGCCGCTTATCCACGCGCCGCACGGCCAGATTCGACCTCCGAATAGCACGCTATCCCTGTGAGGCGCTCCACCTGCGAGCGCCCCTTCTGTGCACGCTATCCCCCTGCCAGGGCTTCTCCCAGAGGCGGGGGATCGCGCACAGTGCTGCACTAAGAGCGGGCTGGCGGTGCCACATAGCGCGCTGTCTGTCCAACGCTAGCCATGATCATGTCTGTGCTTTCTCGAAGATCGGAGGTCTACAACTTCCACCAGAAACCCAACCGAGAGACCCCATGGAACCCATTGATGTTTCGCGTGGATGCGCCACACCTTCCACAACAGAACCATCGAACCCCCAGAAACCTAGGGCACCCCAGAGGCAAGCAGGGCGTTTCCTGGCATGGGCCCCCCACTGTATGCTCCCCCCCTTGGGCCAGTCCCCCTCCCCTTCGTCCACCCCCGAGCAGAGGGCGGGCGCGGCGGCGCGGCGGCGCGGGCGGCGGCCCCAAACCGACAGCATCGAGGCGCCCCCGCGCCACGCGCTGCTCCTCTTTTTGTTTGAGGTCGGGCGTGCCCTCCTACAGGCGGATTGTGGACGACGAATTAAGAATAGTCAAAAAATACTCGAACACTAATCGAACAATCGTCCCCAGACTATTTGTTGACTATGTTTGAACACTCCCCCTGCAGAGGGACCCGCCCGACTTCATTCTTGTTCTCAGATCTCCTCGCCGTTGAGGATCTTGAGCGCCTGCCGCGGAGCCAACGGGGGGGGGGGGGGGCGGGGGGGGCGTGGGCGAAGGGTACGAGAGGGGTGTGGGGGAGATGGAACAGGCACGAGCCGACGGACGAGGACAGAGAGGATGAAGGGTAAGGAGGAGGTGATGGTGGGGGGAAGTGGGGGGGGAGGGAGGGGGGGGGAGGGAAGGAGGAGGAGGAGGAGGAGGAGGAGGAGAGGAGGAGGAGGAGGAGGAGGAGGAGGAGGGGGAGGAGGAGGAGGGGGAGGGAAGGGGTGCGAGTCGACGGAGGAGGACAGAGAGGATGAATTGGGGATGAACAGGACCTCTTCTAGTAAAACGTGGCTTAGTGAAAACGACCTCGGGCCCAAACCTGGCGGGCGCAGGCCTGGAAAAGGACGGCCGCGCCGCCCTCTCGAGAACCGAGAGCGGGTAAGTCACTGATCGTACGTGTCAGGGTTGGGGTTCTGTCCACCCCCGGATGAAGGGGCAGGGGGAGGAGGGGGGGGGGGGGGGCAGAGGAGGTGAGGGGGGGGGGGACGAGGGCGCGAGGGGGGGTCGGAGGACGAAGCCGGAGCGGCGGACGACGGGTTCGTGAGGGAAGCGGGGGGGCGGCGAGGGGCGGGAGGGCGGGAGCGACTCTCTGTGATGCAGGCTGGCGCTACAACGACTGTATGCCGCCACTGCGGTAGAGGGAACGTGGGGGGGGGGCCACGCACCTCTGGTTACCGGGACAGGGCGGCACGCGCGCGTCCTCGCATGCGGAGGCCAACGTGGAAGATCCTCCAGGAGGGAGGGGGGCGGGGGGTGGAGGCTGAGGGAGAACGAGGGGGATGCTGAGGCAAACGACGACGGGAAGGGAGGGAGGGAGGGAGGGAGGGCGGGAGGGGGAGACTGAGGAAGGGAGAGAGGGGGAAGGAGGGAAAGAGCGGGGATAGGAGGGAGGAGGGCGGGAGGAGGGAAGAGGAGGGAGCGCGGGGGGGAAACGAGGGGGAGGATCGGAGAGGCGACGACGGGGAGGAAGGGAGGGAGGGAGGGAGGGAGGGAGGGAGGAATGCGGCGGCTCGGGACGCAGGGGAACGAGAGTGAGGCTTCAGAAGTTCCAGATAACGACGCACGAGGCGCCGAACTGGGAGAAGCAATACGCGTTGAAAGCGCCAGCAGATGGGAATGGGGCGGCGGACCCCGTGTTATGACAAGAAGGGGAATAGGAGGGAGGAAGCGAGGAGGCGGGAGAGGGCGCAAAAACAACGAAAGAAACGAGCATGGGAGAAGCGGAAATGGAGCCCGAGAAACGAGGACGAGGGCGGGAGGATGGGAGAGAAAACAAGGACAATGACAGGAGTTCAGACTTTGGTTGGGAAAAAAGACCAGATCACGTAAGCTGTCACCAATGCGTTTCAACGTACTGCTTACCTGGTAGACTAAGCAACAGGCGGTGCTTCTGCAACTAGCCATCTGCAGCGCGAAAGGCAACACAACATTTCAGGACGACGGTGTCGACACCCAACTTGGAAGACGACGACCTGGACCACGCCGCACACAAGCCCACCATGTTCGCAACAACGATCCCCCTCTCACACCTTACGATGCTGTCCTGTTCGGACTTTTCTGGACGGGATATGGATCTGGTTTGACTGGGAATGCCAAGTTCGAGTCCGCGTCGTGTTGCGATTCTGGGCACCAGTATTCGCCTCGAGGCCAGTGTCGCATGCATTGGTTTTGTGGTGGCCGATGTGCATAGGCACCTGCGAACGATGTTGTCCTCGTTCAGGCGTATGAGGCCACACGCCACGTGCATCTCCACAACTCGCCGAAGCGTTCCCGGCCGGTGTCACGGTGTGACACCCGTTGACCTGGTCGGTGCTGATGCCACGGTATTGACTTGAACTACTGGTGATACGGCATGATCTTGTTGGCCCCACCTGCGTCATCCGAGAGAACCCCTCCAGAAATTCAATTTATCCATTTCCGAAACCGACGGGGAAATATTGGTGGCGGCGAGTCCTGTGAACTACCTGAACCCATTCTGGGGAGCAGTATTTGGTCAACCACTTCCCCTGTTCATATAATGTATAGGGTTTTTGGTAGGGATTCTCAAGGATGGCGCACATGGGGCCAACAAGGGCATGAGCTGTCTACTGCGTGGGGTCGACACCCTAGACATTCGAGTCAGCCTGGTTGAAACATCGCTCGCCCGTGTGAACCATTTGACAATGTTCGGCATTGGGCGGCCGCCGACTCGTCAACTTTATCTGGACACTATGATCGCCAAGAGGCATGGGAATCTGGTGGCGACTGGCGCGGAGTGCCCACCCTTCGACGCCGTTTGTCTCCACCTTGGTGGGGCGTCATCACAGCAACGACATGAAAACTCAATAACACGATTGGAGAAATCTGCTACGGCTATGGACAAACGGTGTGTATTGTTACGGCTTTGGTCAAGCAGTGCATATCTACAGTACACACTATATATATATGTATATATAGCTCCGCCACCGTGCCTCTGGGCACGGAGCGGGTGTGTCCTCAGGTCCTTTGGCCAACCCCATGAGCCTGAGTCCTCAGTCCTAAAAGGCTTCTGAAGGCCCCAGAGCCCAAATTCACAAATCTCCCAGGGCCTGGCGCAATTTCCCCCGGGCCTTGCCTGGCGCCTGTCCTGTCGCGTGCCTTCTCCAGGCCCGAATGCGCCCCGAGGATTTTGGTACTCTCGCCTTTTCGGGCTTCTGGCGCTCAAGACGGCCCAAGAGGCCCCCCCGGACCGCACCAAGACGGTTCAAGAGGGCCACAAGACGGCTCAAGAGACCCCCAAGACGGCCCAAGAGGGCCCCAAGAGAGACCCGAGACGGGGGACGCGAATCCAAGTGACCCCCGTTCGAAGTTCCGACGCTGCTTGACCACGGCGCCCACGCCTCACAACATAGCTCTTGCTTGCCCCAGTATCCGAGAGGGGGGACCGGCGGCAGGAGGCAAGGCCCTTACGGATAAGAAGAGGAGATACTGGGCGAAGAGGAGGGAATGGCGACGAACAGGACGATGAGGATTATGAGAAGGCTGGTGATAAGTCCAGCACCGGCAGCGACGAGGTCGATGATGATGGGTATGATGGGGAGGGAATGGGATCAGCAATGGGAGTGATGATGCAGCTGAAGATTAATATGGTGAAAAAGAAAATGATGATGATGATGATGATGATGATGATGATGATGATGATGATGATGCTGATGATGATGATGATGCTGATGATGATGATGATGATGATGATGATATGACGAAGATGATGATGATCGGGACCGACCTCGGATCGAGCGCCGCGCTCGTCGAATGAGCGGAACGAGCGAGGAGGAGGCGGCCCAACGACCCACACGAGCATCGCGGCCAGGGCGTCCTCTCCGCGCCTCAGCGGGGGCGACAACAAACATGACAGACGATCGCGAACAAATCATGCGATCAATCGCCATTCCTCATCACCAACGACGAGGCCACGATGGACAGGAATCGTGACACTAGGGTGGTCGGGGCGAAAGTCCTGCAAATAACGATTTAAACGATCACGCTTGCTCGGCTCTCGGCGGACTTGGGTTGGACCGCAAGGCAGCAGCAGGCCTCAACGAGCCGCGCCTCGCGCATAGGATCCGCACGCCCTTGCACGCCACGAACTCGCCTGCGACCCTGAGCCTGTGCCCCCTGCATGCCTCAGGCGGCACGGGGCCAGATTCGAGGAGAGGCGCAATAGGTGGGGTTGCCGAATTCGGCCCAGGCTGCCCCACCCGAGCCCTCTTGGGACGGGGCGCCGCACACTCCAGCGGGCCCGCAGGCCTAGCCCGCGGCCGACTGGGCGACTGTGAAGGGGCCCTGGGACACATAAATGAATACACACAAATAACAGGACCCCCCCCATACTTTCCCATATTTTCTGGGTTGTCTTCCCCCCCGCTTCCCATAGTATCCCATATTTTCCTGGGAGTCGACGATCAATTGTGTCTGTGTGCTTTCCCCCCCCCCCCCCCTGAGACTGGGCGCGAGAGCTCCAGGGACCCCGCCAGCCGCAGGCGGTGGGAATCCAGCCGAACCCCCCGCGAGGGCCTCCAGTGCGAGAGCTCCGGGGCGCGATCCCGCCGACGCCGAAGACGCACAAAAGTACGAGGCCGCACGGCACGAGCTGGAGGAGCAGAGGCAGGCCGCCTCGGACCGCGCGGCGGCGCGGGAACTCCGGGGAAATCCGTGGAGGCAATGGGCGCCATCAGGTCATGAAGGTCAGAGTTGTGGAGGTACGTTGGCACTCCTCCCTATGGCCGTCTTCGTTGGCCGAGGGACCGCAGGGAGGGCCTCAGACCCCTCCGGTGGCTGTTGACGCCATCATGAATACGTGCGGGGGGGACCCACGCAACCCCTATGATGGAAGCTGCGCGGGGTGAGAGGCCTATTGGCGGTCCCCCAGGAAAATCCAGGATCGGTCGCAAGAGCTCCAGAAGCGGATCCAGCCGACGGCTCGGAAGACGAGGAAGGCACAGAAACCGTCAGCGCCGCTCCAGCCATCAGCGCTGCGGCAGCCACCATCTCGACTGGGGCGCGGTGGACGTGGCCGGACTGCATTTTCCGAAGCCGCAAAGTGTCCTCGGCGAAGCGCACGCGCTGGCGAGGCGGCCCCTGAGCAGCCTGGGACTGAGATAAACCGACTGGTCAACGTTTTCTCACTCGGCGTGTCGACATTGGGCGGAGGGGGGGGGGGGGGAGGGGGGGGGTCTGGCGCTGGACTTCTGCTCGGTGCGACTGTTTGCAGCAGCGCGTCCCGCGGGGAAGGCTCCGCCTGCTCGAAGCAGGCGCCGAACACAGCCAAGATCTACTCCACGGGGGGGGGGGGAGGGAGGGCCCGCGAGGGGGAGGAGGAGGAGGAGGAGGAGGAGGAGGAGGAGGAGGAGGAGGAGGAGGAGGAGGAGGAGGAAAACAAACGATCACCTGGGGGACCCTCCGCCGCGCCTGGGGCCGCCGACCACTGTCTCAAAATGCTGAATGCTGGCATCCTCCAGCCTGCGTGAGCGCCTGCTCTCCTCGTGCAGCCCCCGTGGCTCGCTGGGGTCCCGCTCGCGAGGGCCCGCACGAGCCCGCAGTGCGTGCACAGTGCCAGGGTAATTAATGTTTGGTCTCCAGGGGGCCAGCTCCCGATGATGATGCTGATGATGATGCTGATGCTGATGATGAGTACGATGATGATGATGGTGGTCATGATGATGATGCTGATGATGATGCTGATGATGATGAGGAATATGATGCTGATGATGATGACGATGCTGATGGAGATGATGATGATGGTGATGGTGATGATTGTGAGGATGGTGATGATGGTTATGATGATGCTGCTGATGATGATGCTGACGATGACGATGAAAATGACAACGACGACAACGACGACGATGAGGATGATGACGATGCCTATGCTGATGCTGATGCTGCTGCTGCTGCTGCTGATGATGATGATGATGATGATGATGATGATGGTGATGGTGATGATGATGATGATGATGATGGTGATGCTAAGAATGATGAACACAATGATGATGTACTTATGATGCTCTGTGACGATGCTCGTGATGGGGACCGTGACTGTCGGGACGAATCCGTCCCGACTCGAACTGCCCGGGCTGGCGGCCGGCGCCGAAGCGCCCGCCGAGGCGCAAGCATGGGCAGAGGGCGGCCGGCGGGAGGCGGGTGCACGTCTTTCAGGGACTTGATCTCCTCCTGGCGGCGCTCCACGCGCTCCTTGCGGCGCGCCCGGAGGCAGCCGGGCGGAGAAGGGGGGGCTTCCGTCGCGGTCGCCGCAGCCGCCCACTCGGAGCACGTCACACTGAGGGCCTTCTCTGGGATCAGCGGTGGTGGGCACAAGGCCAGCGCCCCACTCAAGCAGTCGGGCAGCGATCATCGGACACCGCTCCTAGAACCGTTGAGCTGAGTTGAGTCGTCGCCGTCGTCCTCGTCGTCGTCCTCGGCCTCGTCGTCGTCCTCGTCGTCCTCGCCCTCGTTCTCGTCGTCGTCGTCGTCGCCTCGCCACGGCTGCGGCCCGAGACGCCGTTTCCCGTTCGCGACAAACCCCTCTTCCTGGGACATGGCAGGGGGGGAAGCTCCTGGGTCATGCTAAGGAAAGAATCTCCTCCCTCCAAAGACCATGCCAAGAGGGGTCACCACCGGAGGGGTTGTCATCAACCCGATGATGTGGACCCACTAGGACCACCCTGATTACCAGAGCCTCCGACAAACACAGAGAACCGTCCACAACCCTCCTTGGTCCTGGATCCTCGAACCTGAGGAGGAGCTAGCGAACCCCTAGTGGTGACCCCTTGGCGCTGCCTACACCAAGTCGTCTGGTCGGCCGAGGAACTCAGTGGATAGACGCCCTGTTCCAACCTGTGGGATGCTGGAGCGCCTTTACAACCAGTTCATTTCCCAAATTCTATGGCTCCTTGCCATGCCAAACGATGTGGTGTATACATAGAGCCCCTCCGAGGCATTGGAAACGACAAGACCGTTTGCTGTTCGGTGTTCGGTGTGTAGCTGTTCCCGGTTCCAACGCCGTGTTTTTTTCCGGTCCCGCCACCGTTTTGTTTCCAATTCTGGCTCCCGCTCCAATCCCGGAATCGTTTTGATGTACCCGCATCGGCGATCCGTTTTGGTTCTACCGTCTTCATTCCCAAGGCCAAATCTTCTGGAAGCGGTAAAAACAAACGGCCCCGGGCCCCAGCCGCTTCCAATAATCAAGAAGCTCCCTCCCCCCACTTCCTCACTCCTCCCTCCCTCCTTCTCCCGATCCCCCCGTCTCCCCACTCTTCCATCCCTCCCCCCTTCACCCCTCCCCCGCACTCCGTAGCCGCTTTGGTTCGAGCCGTTCTGATTCCGGCGCTGCGCGTTGCGCGCTGCGCCTGCGCCTGCAACAGCAGATCTGCAGAACGGCGCATTGCTGTAGCGGGCATTCATGACCCCTCAGGTTGATAAACCTGATCTTCAGGTCAATGGACCTCATCCCTGCATTTCCATCTGCTCGCTTCTTTGTGGCCCCTGCGCAGCTTCAATGGACCTCAGCCCTTTGTGGCCCCTGCGCATCTTCAGGTCGATGGGCCTCATCCCTCTATTTCCATTTGCTCGCTCCCATCGGAACTCTCGTTTCTATCACCACGCCCTCTCCGGGCTCATGGTGGGCAGCGGCGGCGGCGGCGGGAGAGGACGCGTCTCGCGGGGGCCTTGGCATGGCAGCTGTGGCAGCGGGCACGCGGCAAGGGACAGCCTCCTGCTTCGACACCACCGTGGCGCGAGAAGTGGCCTGCTCTCACTCCTGGCCCGCAAGGTCCTCACGACGGTGCTCCTCATCGGGGAGGTGCTGGTGCTGGCAACGGGAAGTGAGTCTGTGAGCAGCGTTGCCGCCGCAGCAACAGGTCTCAGAGTCCTACTTCTACTTCTGCAAACACTGCGGGTCCATACGAGACCAATCATCTACTCCAAATCCCTTATTAATCGACCCCCCCCTAAAAAAAACGGACCCCCCTCCAAATGCGACCTAATATTCCGGACCCCCTTTTCGACGGGGCGCCTTAATAAACCAGACCCCGTAAGCTCCAATTCAAAGAAAACGCCCCAATAAAACCGGACCCCCACAGTTACAAAAAAGGCGCCTTAGAAAACTGGACTCGGGGGACGATGAGTAAGGGATTTGGAGTACCCAGTCGTCGTGGGCGCTCGGGGCCTCGAAGCAGGTCGTTCCTGGACGGGATGCGGCAGCTCGTGTGCCCGGTGCGCAGGGGGGATCGCCAGCTCATGACAGAGGAAAGGCCATCGCTGGGCTCACAGTCGCCGAAGTCGAGTCCTTCACTGCCCTGCACGACAAGATCGGCAACAACAATTCTAAATCCCTTATTAATCGTCCCCAGGGTCCGGGTTTTTAAGGCGCCTTTTTTGTAACTGGGGGGGTCCTGTTTTATTGGGGCGTTTTCTTTGGATTGGAGCGTATAGGGTCCAGATTCTTGAGGCGCCCCGTGGAAGAAGGGGGTCCGGAATATCAGGTCGCATTTGGAGGGGGGTCCGGTTTTTTAGGGGGGGGTCGATTAATAAGGGATTTGGAGTACGAGGCTGGGCGCTGCGGCCGCCGCCTGCTTCGACTGTGGCACTCGAGGAGATGCTGGCGGAGTGCCAGCGGGACAGGGACAGTGGGAAGAAGCTGCGCCGCGTGGCCACGCTTGAGGTGCAGCTCAAAGTGCAGCGCAAGCTCGTCGCCAGCGTGGCAACGGAGCTCGAGCAGAGCGCGACAAGTCGTACGAGGAGTTGGCTCAGAAAGTGGCACCGCAGTCTAAATCTGAGACTGGGTTCAAAAGGTGATGCGGAGGCTTCCTCACCCTCGACTCCCTTGGAGGCCTTGCTGGACGGAAAGCTCGACGCATTCAATATTGATTACGGATCTCTGTTTCGTTCGGACGGGTTCGAACTGTCGGCGAAGGATCGTGCTGAGGTTGAGACGCGTCGCGCAACTCTGTCTCAACACGTGCAAAATCTTGCCCGCCATCTCGTCGGCATGGCTGCAGCGACGGACAGAGCAGCAAAGGCAAGGGCTCCCAACTTCGCGTTTCGCGCTGCGCGAAGCGCGAAGTGCGAATACCTTCGCGCTCTCGCGCCGCCTCCCAGGGGAGAAGAGGAGGATGAGGAGGAATCGGAGCCGAACCGCGAAGCGCGAAGCGCGAGTAACTTCGCGCCCTCGAGGGCGCCCTTGCCAAGGAAGCGCAAGCAACGCCGGACACTCACATCGCAGCCGATGCGAGGAAGGGGGGGGGGGGGCACGCGTGCAGCGAACGCGTCGAGGCCCCCTGGCCGGTTGGGGGGCAGCCACTCTCTTTTTCCCCTGCCGCAGGGGCATGGCACATCTCGTGAGGGTGATTACACGTCGGTTGGAAGAAGTAGGTAGAAATATGAAGTAGGAAGGCGGATCAAGTTGATTGGGTCCAGGCCCCCCCAGGGAATAACAAAACACAGCAAAAGCGTGCCGATTCTTGAAGTAGGAAGGCGCTTGAAAAAGATTGGGATCTGGGAATCCAAAAATACCTACTTTCAACGACCGGCGTGTAATGTTCGTCGATCAGATTCAAAACCAAGCTCCTGTTCAATCCCCTCCCTGGAGGCTTCTCCTTATGGGGTCGGGACCCTCAGCGGGAACGCGCGGTCTTCTGTAAAGGAGTGGCTGCCACAGCGCACTGCTCATGTGGTCCTTCTCCAGGAGAATAAGCTTCTGGAGGTGGACCCCATCTCCAGAGCCTCCCAATGGTGCTCGAGCAATGGGTGGAGGTTCCACTGGATTCCTGGGACCACTGGGTAGGGTGGAGGCCTACAGTCATCTTGGCCAGGTCCTGGCTGGGACTGCACGCCCCACCTGGTGGACTTTGCGTTTGGCCCCACAAGGCCATTGCTGATATAGTTCACCCGCCACAGGGTCGGCCCATCCTCCTCCCCCCCTCACCTCAGAGACTCCGATCTCAACTCGGATGTCGGGGGGGGCTCTGGGAGCAACGCTACCAGTGCGTGGCCCGCCTTTCGTCATTGCTGGGGGCTACGACCTCGAGCCCAGACTCTTACACGAGTGCGAATTCTTGCGTAACTTTCGTGCGTGGCTGGCGGCGACTGTAAGTGCGACTTGCCTTGGGACACGAGAACCTCGCGTCTACGACTACTTCGTCGTACCGTGAGACCCCGCCAAAGCAGTGAGCTCAATTGCCATGCATGCTGGTTCGGCCACTTTGCACCCTCGCGCGCCCATGAGGATGACGTGTTTCGTGGCTTTGGCTCAACTTCATGCCCGCGCCTCCAGGCCCCCCCCCGATCGCCGCGCATTCCCAGATCGGTCCCAATCCAGAGCCTCCATCGCCCGATCGGTGTAAGACGTTGTTAGGGAAGGCCCCATTGTCAAGGCCCAGATGGGGGGAGACTGATGCGTTGGACGGTCTCTTTGGGGTGACTTTCAACCGGTGAGCCACCTCGGAGAAAGAGCTGCGTCGTGCCATGGGTGCTCTCTGCCATTTTTGCGGCGCCGGGGGGAAAGATGCGTCTCTCTGGTGGCGGTCTATTCTCAGGGGGACGAAGAATGATATAAACACAAAAACTCTGAGGTCCGCGCTGATTTCTCGGATCCGCGCTGGGGGCCCCTGGCGCGCTCCGCGCGCCAGGGAGGGGTCCAGCGCGGATCCAAGAAATCCGCGCGGACCTCCGAGTTTTTGTGATTATGTCATTATTCGTTCCCTCGGCGGTGGACAAGCCTCCTTCAATAAACCACCCTTTGGTGAAAACGGCTTGGGACCGAAACCGACGGACCTGGACAACCTGGGGCTGCGCAACATGCGCGGGCCGCACCCCAACTTCCAGGCCCTCGCTGCGAGCGCTGAGGCCTTCCGGCTTCCCTGGAGATGCGCCAATCTTATGTTGCTCCCATCGTACTTAGGATCGCATCCCATGAATAGTTTCGAGTGCCCAGAGAATTATCGAAACAGTGTCGAGCGAGTATCACCTCCCAGGGCCCGACGTGTGAAAACCCCTCAGTGTCGGTACGTTCCTGGTGCTCGAAATTCCTTTTGGTGATCAAGGCTAAACTAGGTTGGGACATCGTAACAGTGGAGATGCGCCAGTCACTGCTCCGCGCCGCGCGCTGGGCGAACCGCCTGAGGCGATCCTGGCCACCCCAGGCGATCATGCCGAGCTTTTTCAACAGGTCACCCTCTGGCAGGGCATGGACCGTATCCCCCTCGACTGAGGTCCACCTGCTGGCCGAGAGGGCGGAGCAGGCCAAGGAAGAACTTGCAAAATGCTCAGGTTTTGATGCGAGGCAAGCCAAGAAAGATTGGTGTGCCCGGCTTCGGGATGGCATCAACCATAGGGCTCGGAAAGCGCACCGGATCTGCAGGGATCCTGGCGCACCAGGATCACGCCCAGTAGGTTTGGTAGTTTGGTCTCGGACCTCCAGGAGCTCCCTAGGGTGGAGTGCGACAAATTCGGGTTCCTCTGGAAAGCTCACGGGGGCCTCGTCTAAGGTTCGTTGCACGAAGCTCCAACCTCTGCCCCTCAGGGCTCTTTCCAAAGCTGTCTCGCGCAGGTCTGCGGATGACCTGGGCGGCTTCCATACGATACGACCAATACCTTTAAGTCGGGCCTGTCCCCCTACAGAGGGATTTTCGACGAAAATAATAAAATACCTACAAAATACACCCAAAAGGCAAACAACAAAAATCCAAAAATAGTCCCCAGACTATTTTCGGAGTATTTTTTACTATTTCGAAGTATTTCTCATTTTTCGTCGAAAATCCCCCTGAAGGGGGACACGCCCCACATAACAATACCTCTCTGAAGCGTCTCTGGAATACCTCGCTTCGCTATTTCAAAGTGTGGAATTTGCGGGCCTCCTCCCTGCCCCGAGTTTCTTACTAAGCGTCGGGGGGCGTCACCCACGCGGACAGCCCCACATCCACCCCCGTCGCGGGCAGCCGCCGCGCGCCGAAGGCGCTCCGGCCCCCGTCGCGGCGCGACTCCGGAGCGAGGTTGGCCCCCGTCGGGGGGGTACCCCCCACGCTGATCAAGAAACCCAGGGTAAACAGCTTAGAGTGTTCGCTGATGCCCTCGTGAAGGGAAGGAATAATGGCATAAACATATAAACCCGGAGGTCCGCGCGGATTTCTCGGGCCGGCGCTGGACCCTTCTCACTGGCGCGCGGAGCGCGCCAGGGGCGGCGCTGGAGGCGCCGCCAGGGCGGTCCAGCGCCAGTCCGAGAAATCCGCGCGGACCTCTGAGTTCTTCTGTTCTGTCATTTTGTTCGTTCCCCTACCTTAGAAGGTTCGCTGCTGCCCTCGTACTCCAAACGGCGCCAGTCTTCAGACCGATCGAAGCTCTCTCGAGCCCCTCGCCGCCCCTGGGGGGGCGGGTGCATCGGCCCGTCGCGTCTGCTTGGGACGAAGACCACGATCGGCCCAGCGGGACCGCCGGCGAACTCAAGGGGACGAGGAGGAGGAGGAGCTGCTGCTGCTGCCACTGCTGCATTCTGCATCGATGTCCATGTGAGTTGGCAACGCCTCCTGCTTGCGGGCACCGCAGAGCCTGGGCTTATAACTGGTTTACCAAGGGGCCTCTGGGACTGAAAAGGAACGCAAGGCCTTGAACCGCTGCCTTTGCGCGCGCAGCGCTGGCACGGCTCCGCGGCGCGGGGCCGCGAAGGCGCCATCGAGTCCCGCGACGCCAGCGGCGGCGGCCGGGCACGCCGCCGCACCTGCTGCTGCCACCTCCGCCTGCGCCGCGGCCAGCGCCTGCTCCGCGGCCTGCGCCTCGGCGGTGGCCTGGGCGGCGCGGATGTCCGCCGCCTCGGCGGCGCGCTGAGCCTCCTCGGCCGCGGGCCGAGCCGCCGCCGCGGCCTCCTGAGCGCGCCGCGCCGCTTCGGCGCGGTTCCTCCGCGAGCCCAGGGCGGACTGCAGGCGGCGCTCGAGAGGGCGGGCGGCGCGCTCCGCCTCTTGCAGCCCGGCCGCCGCGGCCTCGAGCCGCGCCACCTCGAGGGGCGGATAACGGCGATGCGAGCCTCGATGCCCGCAAGGTGTAAGTCGGGCCTGTCCCCCTACAGGGGGATTTTCGACGACAAATGAAAAATCTACCCCAAATAATTAAAAAATAGTCTGAAAATAGTCTGGGCACTATTTGTTGAATATTGTTTGGCCTTGTTGGCGCATTTTTGGGGTATTTTCAATTTTTCGTCGAAAATCCCCCTGTAAGGGGACAGGCCCGACATAACGAAAGGTCCCCCGGCGCGGCGGCCGCCGCTGGCAGCAGCGGAGGGGCATCGGCCCCGGCTGCCTGGGGGCCGGAGGCAGCGGCGGCTGCCCTGCCGCCCCCCTGGGCTCGCCAGCCTCGCCATCGCGCTGCGCAGGCAGCTGCCGCTCTTGCGAGCGCGGATGCCGCGCCGCCCCAGCAGGACGACCCGCCTGCTTGCACGCCTCCGCCAGCTGCTTCAGCTGCCTCTGGATGGCGCCCCATGGCGGCTGGGCGTTGCACCCTCGCCCGCCACCACGGCCGCCCGGCATCGGCAGCGGCCACGCGCGCGGATTACCCTACGCGCGAGGCCCGGGCGCTGGGGCCAGTTCGCTAGAGCCGACCCCGTCGGCCAGAACCAGGTCGGCGCTTGAGCCAAAATGGCTCGAGCCAAAATGGTTTGAGCCAAAATGGCTACGGGGTAGTGCCGTCTCGCACGGACAGTTGATCGAGGACAGGTGCCCGCCGTGCGGGCAGATTGGAGACGCGCTTCTCCACCGTTCGTGGCTCTGCCCGCAGTGCGGGGAGGCGCGGAATCATACCTGTGGGGCAACTTCGCCTGAACTGTAACAGGCAGGAGCTTGAAGACCCGTCTCCAGGTTTCAGATGATTGTTTACGTCAGGACTGCTCCAGCGCCCTGCTACGGACCCGCCAGCGCCTCTCTCTGTCTCTCTCTCTCTCTCTCAGGAGCGAGCTCTAGAAGTCGTTCCATTGGAGGTTTATCCCGAGACTTTCGCCGAGGAAAGTCTCCCTCCGCTGAGCCGAGGGATGAGGGAGTTGGCTGGCATGCTCTGCGGGAATGGCTCTTGTCTGCGGTCAATGGTCAAGGAGCTTTCCAGGTCAGGTTGGGGAGTGTGTGGATTATCGAGGCTGGTAAATGTTTTGCTCGAGTCGAGAATTCGGCCCTCTGGGAAGTTATTTTCCTCAGACAAGCGTTGCTGCCGAATTGCCCGCCCCGGCCAATGCTTCATCGTTCCCCAACAGTGCCAGCACTTTCTATTCCGATTGCCAGGTTGTGGTCAACAAGTTTGCCAAGGGTTCTTGGGAGAAGCTGCTCGCAGGCCTTAGAGTGGTCTGGCGATGCAGTCCAAGGAGCTCGGGTGGGGAGGGGGTGGAGGAGGAGGAGGAGGAGGAAGAAGAGGAGGAGGAGGAGGAGGAGGAGAAGAGTAGGAGGAGGAGGAGGAGGGAGGGAGGGAGGGAGGGAGGGAGGGAGGGAGGGAGGAGGAGGGAGGGAGGGAGGAGGGAGGGAGGGAGGGAGGGAGGAGGAGGAGGAGGAGGAGGAGGAGGAGGAGGATGAGGAGAGGAGGAGTAGGAGGAGGAGGAGGAGAAGGAGGGAGGAGGAGGAGGAGGTGGAGGAGGCCGACGAGGAGGAGGAGGAGGAAGAGGAGGACGAGGACGAGGACCAGGAGGAGGGGAATCCAGGCCAGGGGGAGGAACAGGAGGAGGAGGAGGAGGAGGAGGAGGAGGAGGAACCCATCTTTCTGGCGTGTCCAAACTTCGGGCCCACCTGGAAGATGTTGAGCTCCTCCCGATATGCGACCGTCTGCACATCATCGGTAACGATGCTGCAGATGCAGCTGTTAAGAAGGAGGCCTTGCTGCATCTGAGGGCCTCGGACGCCGAGCTTGATGTTGTCCAGTTTGTGCCGAAAGTGGCCAACGCAATCAGTTCACTTTCGGCCCACCTGATGGACAGCTGGCCTCGCACCGACTTCGACGGCGACACTCAGGTTGGCCTCCCCCATCTAAACATGCAAGGCCGCCTGGATCCAACTCGTGATAAGAAGTCTCATTGCACCGTGCAGACGTGCTGCAGCTTTCTGTCGACGTGGATATCACGTGGATGTGTTGATTTCTTCATTCCTGGACAACACAAATCCGCACGCAATTCCCTTCGAAATCTGGAACGAAGTTCTCCAGGATAATCTGGGCCGATCCCTTTGTTTTCCGAACGAAATCCGCTCTGCGATATTGGTGCTATGAGAGGTCGTGGTCTGCGGGCAACGCTCGGAGAATGGATGTTTGGTCTAAGCTCTGCAACGGCCTCCATCCCAAGAGATGAGGGGATGACTGTAGGGCTGGACGGGATTGGCCGCCTGTGAGGCGGCTCTGAGGCAGTGGACGCGGGGGGGCGGGAAGCAGCAGCCGTCGTCGTCGTCGGCGTCGTGGTTATTGCGCTGCTGCCGGCGCTGGTGCTGCCGCGGCTAAGGGAGCTCCTCCTCCTCCTCCTCCTCCTCCGTCCTCCTCCTCCGTCCTCCTCCGTCCTCCTCTCGCCCCTCCTCTCGCCCCTCCTCTTCTGCCTGCTCGCCGCGCGCACCGGGGCGCGGCCTCGTAGCTCACGCCGACCTCGATGCAGGAGGGCTTCAGCTTGTCGAAGTACTCCAGGGAGGCGGTCAGCTCCTCGGCGGGCCCGCCGCGGGCCGAGCAGCAACGGCGGCAGTGAAGCTCCAGTGGTCGGAGCAGGACGGAAGGGCGCTCGGGGCTCCCAGCCCCGAGCATCGCGCAGCCTCGTCACTACAGTCAGCCCGCAGAGTAAGGATGCGCGATATGGATGCAAGGGCCTTGGACGCCCAATCGAAGCTCTTCGAGCGGGGCGCGGCCAACGAAAGTGTCCAAGGATGGACCCAGGAAGCAAGGATGCAAGGGTACTCTTGGAAGGGATGCCTATCCTTACTCTGCGGGTCGACTGTACCGGGGGGGCGGGTCAGCCGCTTGCTCCTGCCCCAAGGTACGCGAAGAGGGCCAGGGCGAGGGCCAGAAGGCACGAGCAGCAGCAGGGAGCAGAGAGGCGGCGAGAGCCGCGGCGGTGCTGGCGCGCGCCGGCGCCGCGCGGGGCCCAGGCCGAGGGAGCGGTGGAAGGGCGCAAGTGCCCGGCGGCGGCTGGCTGACGGAAGGCCGGGAGGAGCCCAGGACTCCCCACGCTGTGCACGAGAAACAAAACAGAGCAACGATCAAACGCATGGGCCTCGGGCCATGTACGTCGTCCAGGGTCCTCCTGGGCCCGATGATCTGCCCCGAAGTGACCTAAACCCGCGTCCGAAAGCTTCCGACCGTGACTGGGTGTGACCGAACTTTTTGGTTCGAAACCCGTTTGAAACTCATGTTCGGTCAGAAAATCAGCCACAGCGCACGATTGGCAACAACTTCGGGTACGTTTTCGGTCACTGATGTTTTTCGGCCACAAACCTTTTCGGTCCAGTTAAGTCGTGCCCGCCCGTTCCCGTGGCACCCCTCACAAAGACTGCCCCTAAACCGCTAAGTCGTGCAAACTTTCCAAGGTGGGCTTTTCCTGCGCCGGCACACAGAAAGATAAATTCCAGAGAATTTAAGATGTCAAGATTTGATTGAACTTGTGACAACCTCACGACTGTCGCCACCAGGAATCAAGAAATAATAACGACGGGAGTGCGGTTGGCGCACTAAGGACACCACAATCCCTGTGTACACGGCGAAGCCTGGCTACACCATAGAGCCTGTGTGCACCACAGTGCCTCGAAACATCCCAGTAGCTGCGTGTCGCCTGTTTACACCACCGAGGTGCTTTTGTACGCCGCAACAGCCGTGTGCGTAACAGCGCCTGTGTACACCACAATGCCTGCGAGCACCAAGCCGTTTTGGCACACCATGGCGGCTGTGCACACCACATCTAAACAGGGCACCACAGCGTCAATGTGCACCACAATGCCTGCGTGAACCAGAGCGCTTGTGTGACCACAGCGCCTGTCCAAACCACAGCACCAAGATGAACAACAGCGCCTGTGCACAACAGCGATGAACAACATCGCCTGTGTACAAAAACGACGCACAACGCATGCCCACACCGCGTGCACAAGAGCACCTGTGCACAATGCAACGCATATGCACACCAAAGCTGCCATTGTACACTGCAGAGAGTGCGTGCACCACAGCGCCTGTGCACACCACAACGCATGCGCACCGCTGTGCCTGCGTGCGTCAACAGCTGCTGCAGCAGCGGCAACAATTTGCCGCACAGAACCTCACTGCATGTGTGCCCCACAGTGCCTGAGCACCTTCAGAAGGCTCTGGGCCTCCTCCTCCTCCTCCTCCTCCTCCTCCTCCTCCTCCTCGCGCCCCCTTTCTTCACGTCCTGCTACTCCTCCTCCTTCATCCTCCTCCTCCTCCTCTTGCTATTCTTCCTCCTCCCTCCTCCTCGGATTGCGGTGGATGTGTCGCGGCCTTCTCAGAGCGTTCCAGAACGCTCTGGAATGATGAATCCCTGTCCTAACCCGCCCGAGGAGAACCGTTTGGGGGGCACGGCTCACGGGGGGAAGCATCGACATGGAATCGGCGATACGTCGCCGACAACTCGTCGGTAGGCCTCCGACAGCACTCCGCACGTTTCCAGGCGGGGTGGGCGCGGGCCCCTGTCGGCGATGAATGGGCGATTGGGGCTCGACGCGTTCTCTCCTGAGCCTATCGCCCCTAACGGTGCCCCTGACCCCCCTGAGGTCCCCGGAGGCTTCAAAAGGAGGTCCCCAGAGGCCTCCCGCGGGCCAAAAACAGAGGCGCCAGGAGCCTGAAGGCAGGGTCGGGCGGCCGAGGGGAATCGCAGAGGGGGCGTTGGCGGATCAACTGATGTGGCCGGTTTTTCCGGGCGCTTCCCGGCGCCAGAGGCGGCCGCGTGTCCAGGAACGTGCTCGGCGTCGGGGACGGCACAAGCTTCACGCAGCAGATTTGCCCCCCCTTTCCCATTCCAAGCCCTCCTTCGACCAACATCCGTTCAAAATCAATCCCCTGGGCAGGGGTCCAATCTCGCACGTGTTTCGAGCTGCGTCCAGCCGCGGCGACGAGAATCTCCAGGAACTTCCCGAAACGTTCGAAACGACGACGTCGAGCCTCAAACATCCCCAATCGGAAGCACAAAACGCACATTCAAAACTCAGATCCTCGAGTGTGGCATGGTCCCAGACATTCTCTGACCATGCCTGGGGGCCAGCCGAGGAGATGCGCAGAAATGCAAACGACACGTAAGATGGTGGGACGATCCGACGAAGTAGCAAGGGCAAGCGAAGAAGACGAGGAGTGACAGCGCACACCTTGCGGAGAAAAGCATCCTGTGAAGAAGGTGCTGTGACCGCTGCACTCCGGGGGGGGGGCCAGAGGAGAAAAAAACTGCACAAGCACAAACTGTCGGTGCTCCGCGCGGATCTCTGAGATCTGCGATGAGCCCCCCTCCCCAGCGCGCGAGGTGCGCTGGGGGCGGCGCCAGAGGCGCCGCCAGGGGGCCCCAGCGCCGATTCAAGGACTCCGCGCGGAGCTCCGAGAGCTTATGTTTGAGCAGTCGTGTTTTTCCCCGGGTGGTGCAAGGGGGTGGGGGTAGGGCGGGCCGCGAGCGAGAGGGCCCTCTTTGTTCGGCCACCTTCGTTCTTGCTCTCGGGCCATGGCTCGCTGCACGAGTCTGCCTGTCGCAGATCGGCTCGTGTGAGGCTTGCGGTTTGCCTGGCGACGTCTTGATCCGCACCCCGTGGAGCGGAGCTGGCCTACAGTCGACCCGTATCATAAGAATGCGCAGTAAGGATTGATAGGCCTTGGAGGGCCACGTTAGCGTTTTTCGAACTAGGTTGGCCAGCGAGGGCGCCCACTTCGAAGCCTTTCTAGCGGGGCGCGGCCAACGAAAGTGGCCCATGACGGGCCGAGGAGGCAAGGCCGCAAGAGCAGCCTTGGGCAGGCTGCCCGTCCTTACCATGCGGGCTGACTGGACCACACCCGCCGAACCCCTCGCCGTGCGGGTGGGGCGGGGGGGGGGGGACAGGGTCGATGCCCCAGGCCGTCCGCACGCCGTCGTCGTCCGTCGTCGTCGTCGTCGTCGTCGTCGTCATCGTCGTTCGTCGTCCGTCGTCGTCCGTCGTCCGCCGTCGTCGTCGTCCGTCGTCCTCGTCGTCCGCCGTCGTCGTCGTCCGTAGTCCGTCGTCGTCCGTCGTCCGCCGTCGTCGTCGTCCGTCGTCCGTCGTCGTCCGTCGTCCGCCATCGTCGTCGTCCGTCGTCGTCGTCGTCCGTCGTCCTCACCGTCGCCGCCGTCGCCGTCGTTCGTCGTCCCCGTCGTCCCCGTCGTCGTCGTCGTCGTCGTCGTCGTCGTCGTTGACGGGTTGCTCATCCTTACTGTGTGGGCTGACTGTGCCCATCGCCCGGGCGAGCGGGCCTTCTGCGTGCCCTCCAGGCTCTTCGTGCACACCACGAGGGCCTGCCGAGCAGAGGGGCTCCCGCCACCACGGCGCGCGCCGGGCCCCCCCCCCCCCCTCGCCCTCCCGGTCGCCGTCCTCCCAGCTTCTCCTCGTCGCCGTCGTCCTCCTCCTCCTCCTCCTACTCCTCGTCGTCGTCTTCGCCCTCCTCGTCGTCTTCGTCGCCCTCCTCCTCCTCCTCCTCGTCGTCGTCCTGCCCCGCCCTCCTGGTCGTCGTCCTCCTCCTCCTCCTCCTCCTCCACGCCGTCGTCCTCCTCGCCCTCATCGCCGTCGTCCTCCTCGCCGTCGTCCTCGCCCCCCTCGTCGTCATCCCCCCCTGCTCTGCAGAAACTGTTCGAATTGGCGCCGGACCCCTCTCCCCCAGCGTGCGGGGCGCGCCAAAGGCGGCAACGGAAACGCCGCCCAGAGGGAGCACAGCACTGATCCGAGACTCCGCGCGGACCCTCCCCCGCGTTTATTCCTCACGATTTCCTCCTGCTTTTGCGAATTCCCCAGCTGCTCCTCTCCGCCTCTAACTCCTCCTCCTGCACCCCCGTTTGTTCCCCTTTCGGTGTCCACCAGGCGGGGGGGGGCCCTGAGGGGGGGGGTGCGTTCGATCCGCTGGTACATCGAATTTCCAAAAGAACGATGCCCCCCCGCGCGACCCGATTGTTCACACCTCTCGGGTTCCCGCGGCGGCCCGAGACCTCGTTTTGCATAGTTTTTCAGCGGTTCGGTGCGCCGACGGACCGAACTCACCCCCTCTGTGGCCCCCCCCTCTGCGAGGTCCCGACCCTCGTGTCCCCCCATCTGGTCGGCGTGTCCCCCTGCCTGCGCCCGAGGAACACAGGAGGAAGCAGCGGTGGTGGCAGCCAGCGGAGGAGAGGGCCCAATCACTGCCTCTCTGGGGTTGTCAAATGGACAAAGCATTACGGGCCCAACTTGGAGATACGACGCGATGCGGGGGCATCCGTCCTTGACAAGGGTGCGTCCGAATAGCGCCATGGAGGTGCATCCCCAGAATCCAATCCTTTGGATAGAACCGAGAGATTCGGACTGTGGGTGAGAAGTCGCCTGCAGGAGAGGACGAAGGCCGGAGGAGGGATGATGAGCAGCACGGAAGATGGGGTGGCGTTATACATGGTGGGCTTCACATGTGTGGAGAACGCTCCGCCGACCCCAAAGTACGCTACTGCCGGGCTGGCAGATTCGACAAGCTACAACAGCAGCACAAATTCTGGACGATTTTCAGCGATGTGTGTATAGCTGGCTCGTATCTGTTGTTGGATGAATACTTTCTGCGAAACGCTCGAGCCGCAATGTGATACGGTCCTTGTCTCATTATTCTCTCCGCTTCTCGGGCCGCAAATTCGTCCAACCCTCCTGGCCCACCGGATTTTCCGTTCACTCCCCGCATCTTCGGGCGGCTCAACCACAATGGAGCGTGGCGATCCACTTCCGATCACCACTCCGGAAAAGTCGACAACGCAAATATGGAACCCAAGCAGTCCTCTCGAGGCCAGAACCCTCGGCCATGCTCAAGCGCTCGGAAAGGGGCGCCCACCACCACTCCATCACTGAGCAGCCCAGCGCCGCACGCATGGCCAGCCAGCTTCGGCCTTCTCTCGACACGAAACCCAACATCTTCAGGAAAGTCCTCGAGGTACTTGGTCCATATGTCGCTCGGTATCTCGAATTCGGCGATCTTGGTCACTTTCAGCTTCCGCTGCGCTGCCTTCTGAAGCCGGGCGAGGGGCGCGGGAAGTTGGCGAACGCGTCCCACTCCACGACGCTCTACGATACTCTTGCCCGCGGTCGCGCCGCGCTCCAGACTCGCCTCGAGGTCCAACCCGATGTCTCGTGCGAGAGTTTTGAATCCAAGCCCTACGTTGCCACCCTTCACTAGCGTGTGAAACTCCGCTTCTCCCTTGGATAGCGAATCGGGCCCCCACGCAGTCGAGCTGCTCCGAATCCAGTGTTGGCCCATCATGGCCCTGCGTGATGATGTCGACGTCCTCGCGAGTCGACGGCCATCGAAATCGCTGTCTGCGAAGACTGAGGCTACTCGCCGACCTGCTTCTCAGGCGCACTCCACCGCCGGCCTCGGCATGCCAGTGAGGTAGCGGCCGATCCACTTCGCGGCTTGCCATCTTCCCACTGTCGGCCCCTGCATCACTCAAGCTCTCTCCTTCGCCGCGCATTGAAGCTCAGGTCGGTCTTGAGCTGAATACTCAACGCGAATGCTGATCAGTCGGTGGATCCGGCGTGTGAGTTTCTGAAGCGTGGGCTTGAGCTCGCTCAAGCTTCGCTCTGGAGGGGGGTGGTCGGGGGGGGGGGACGCAAACGACGAAAGAATTGACACGCGAGGGGGGGGTGGGGGAATGAGAGGGGGGGGGGGGCTCGCTCAAGCTTCGCTCTGCAAAGGGGGGGGAGGCGCCAACGACGAAAGAATTGACACGCGAGGGGGGGGGAAAGAAGGGGGGGCAGGAGAGAGGGGGGGGGGGACAGGAGAGAGGGGGGGGGGGGGGGAAAGGCGAGAGGGAGGGGCGAGGAGGGGGGGGGTGGACAGGAGAGAGGGGGGGGGGGGGCAGGAGAGAGGGGGCGGGGGGTGGGGGAAAGGAGAGAGGGTTGGGGGGTGGACAGGAGACAGGAGAGGGGGGGGGGGACAGGAGAGAGGGGTGGGGGGGGGGGAAATGACAGAGGGGGGGGGGGACAGGAGAGAGGGGGGGGAGGGGGAAAGGAGGAGAGGGGGGGGGGGGACAGGAAAGACGGGGGGGGACAAGAGAGAAATGGGGGAGGGGGCAGGACAGGAGAGAGGGGGGGGAAAAGGGGGCAGGACAGGAGAGGGGGGGGGGGGGAACAGGAAAGAGAGGGGGGGGAGGGAAAGGAGAGAGGAGGGGGGGCACAGGAGAGAGGGGGAGGGGGACAGGAGGGAGGAGGGAAGGTGGGGAGGGGGGCCGGGATCATCACCATCTCCACCACCATCACCATCGTCACACCACCATCATAATCATCATCATCCGGAGCGTCCCGGATCGGCGGCACTGGCCGGAGACCACTACAATACTCAATGCGAATACTGATCAGTCGGTGGATAACTCGTTCTCGACCTTGAAATTCCTCGCCGTCCATCTCCTGTCTCTTCGCCACAGGCGTCGACACCGCCTTGCACCCGCGGCCTCGTTGGCCTGACTGCGCCAGGCGGATCTCGACATGTCTGGGGTCGGCCTCGTACTTTATCTTCTCGTCCTCCACTCGCGTCGGCCTGGCCCACCTCGCAACCCTGTTGAGCACCGCGATCTCGTCGATATCGCCGCAGGATGGATCTGGCCCCAGTGCCCCGCGAGCACTCGCGATGAGGTGCCCTAGCAGTCCAGCTGTGAACTCCTTTGACTCCCGCCAATCACCGAGCACCACGGAGTCGTCACAGTGTCTCCATGCGACCAGCTCGCCAACCATGAAGATGCACGGCGAGAACTTGCCCTGCTTCACCTTCAGGAGCCTCGCCATGATGTGCTCCGCCTTCTGGTCAAACGCTGATCCAGCATCCCGTGGCCCGTGCGTCGCCTTCAGCAGCGGCCAGCGCTCGTCCGCTTTGCATTCCTGACCCTCCGCTGGCGCTTTCTGGTAGACTGGCCTCTTCAACTCGGAGTGTAACTGCGCCTTCGAAATGTCGATGGACGTCAGCACTTGGCCGCAGTTCCTGCCGATCTCATCGTGGGACGTCGCCATGTCCACCTCGCTCGCCCGCTGCAGGAGCACTGGCTCCGCCGCCTCTGGCACGCGTCGAACGCGAGGGGCCCGCGCCCTCGACCCGCAGCTAGTTCCAAATCCCGCGCAGGAAGGCCTTGACCAACTTCACCGGGTTCCTCTCTGCCGCCTTCGCCCTCCTGCCCAGGAGGCGCACGTGCCCGCGTCTCCCATCGCGCCGGAGCGTGGCCCGCGCGGCCTCCTCGGGGATGTTCGTTATCCAGCCAGTCGGCTTTACCACGGCGCCCTCCGAGCCACCCGGCCAGTGCGACTTGGCGCCGAACGCGCGCTGGTTTCCCCTGGCCACGCCCACTCCTGCGAGCTCTCGCGCTCTCCTGATGACCCGTCCCTCCAGCTCGTAGCGGCCCGCAAGTACTCGACGAAAGAACCTCTTCTTCGCGTGCTGGTAGACGGCCAGCTCCACGCAGACGGCAAGGTAGACCTTGCACTCCGCGAGCAGTCTCTGGAACGTCACCTCGCCCCTCGTGCTGCTCGCCCTCAGTAAAACTATCAACTGCGTGAATGTAGCGCACGCAGGCCACGCGATGAGGAACGCAGGGTTGCCTTCCTTGATTATTGCTCCAGCTCTCTCGCGATCCTCCTCGAGCCCGAAATCCCCGCCCGCCTTGTGGCCCATCGCAACTCCAGGTTTCAGGTTGAACTTGGGGGCGCGCTTTGCGGACTTACGCGGGTTGCACGCCTTCCGCAGGCCCGGGCTGTCTATGCCCAGCTGCTCAAGCAGCGCGTTGATCTCCCTCAGGCCGCCGGCCCCCCCTGCGCCCGCGCTCGCCGCCGGCCCGCCTGGCGAAGCGGCGCATGGCGAGCTCGCCTCGGGATGTCCAACGCAGGGCGACGATTCTACTCAGCCCTTTTTCGCCATGGTTCGTCAGCTACTGGTCGATCGGTCCGCTCGATCTCCTAGCCGCGGGTGGCCCCCGCGACTCGCGCGTCGCCGCCGAGCGCTTTCGTCTACCATCGCCCGTTCGACGCTGGCCCCGCGCCCCTCGTTGCGCGCGATCGCCCCCTGGCTGTCCTGGTCCGCCGCGCGCCCGCGCAGGCCCTGGATGCAGCCGCCGCGCCAGATCTCCACACCCTCCCCGATCTAGACGAGCCTCGGCGCGGGCGGGCCCGAAAGCGCAGGGGCCGGGGGCGCGTCCGCGTCTGGCGCCGACCGGTCGGCTGCAATCTTGTCCGCTTCCAGCGGCGCCTCCGACCCTTCACCTTCTTGCCCGGGAAGGGGCTGTCAATGGGGCGCCCTACAGCTCCGCGAAGAACACCCAGCCCGCTCTAGACGAGGGCGGGAACCCACGGGCGCCCATCGCCCGCGTCGCCCCCTGTCGCCGCACAAACCTCGTCGCCGTCGCCCTCGGCGCCGTGGCGAGCGCCTTCCCGCCGCTTCTCCACAAACCGCGACTTCTGCTTGCCCACTGGCAATTGGCAAACATTCTCGCCGAACCCGGCAGCGGCCTCTTGCGCGGGCGCCCCTTGTTCGGCAGCCCGCGCGGGACGCGGTCGCCCGAGCCCGCCTGGCCCCTGTCGCGCGTGTCCGCGCAAGACCAGACCAGCAGCGGCAGAACCGGATGGCCCGGGGCCGTCGCGACGCCGCGCGAACCCCCCGCCGCGTGCTCGAAGGCCCTCGAGAGGCCCTGTCCCTAACGGCTCCTCTGGCCAGACCGTTCGACTGAGACATGCCGCCGGCCGAGGTCTCGATCGCGCTCTCGACCCCCGGCCCTTCTTGAGCCTCACCATGGCCTCGCCCCTTAGCGCTTGGACGCTGGGCTCGATGTCGCAACGGGGTGCGATTTTTCCTGGCGCCAGCAAGAAGCGCGAACGTCGCCAACGTCTCCACGCTGCCCCCATGCCTCGCGCCCTTGCTCACCAGCACCTCGGCGCCAGTGCGCCTGTGGAAGGAGGCGCTCATGACGGAGATCGGGGGCGCGTCCTCGTCGCTGCCGAGATGGCTGGAGTCGAGCGCCACGACTTGAACTGCATCTTCTTCGCGACTGCTCGCGGCATGGGGCCCCGCGCGCCCGCGGCGAGCCGCGCGGCGCTGGCGCCGGACCCGAAACGGCGCGCGCGACGCCCCATGATCTTCTCGCTCTTGCCGCGTCGGTCTGGGCGGCCGACGCGCCGCCCTCGCCGCAGACCGCTCTTGCGCCCCCTCTGGCGCCGGTGACGGCGGTGCTGCGCGGGGGGTCTGTGCTGCGTGAACTGGTTCTCGCGCTGGCTCCAGCTGCGATGCCAGGGGCCAGAACCTCCGCAGAACCTCCGGCTTGCGACCTCTGCTCTGGCCCTGGCCATCCTTGGAGAGGCCGACCGCAATTCCCATCGCCGTCCTCGCACGCGTTGTTCCGTCTCCCGCGGAGGGGGATGGCCCCGAGGCCATGTTCCCCGCGCAACTGCCGTCCGAATCGAACACCAGCTCGGGCCCTGCGGCGATCATATCCGCGACAGAGGCGAGCGCCCTGCTCGCGGCTGCCACTCTGACTGGCGCTTCGTGCCTTCTCCTCGCCGTTGGAGCCGATCGCCGCCCCGACCAGCTTCTTCGCGCCCTCATCGGCGACCCGGCCACCAATCGCAGCGCCGTCGCCAACACCTTTAGCACTCACGTCGTTCTCGTACGTCGGGCAGTCGGGCGCCGCGTCGTTGGGCGCCGCCGTAGCAGCCGCGCACGCGCCGATGCCCATCGCGACCTTACAGGTGGCCCTGCGCGCGCCCGCGCCGAGCCCGCTCAGCTCGCGCGCCACCTTGTCCGCGATCCACGATCGGGCCACGCCCCTCTCGTCGACCTTGCGCGGAGGGAGCCGCGGCCCGCGCAGCGACTTCCCTGGCCCGGGCTCGCGCGCGCGGATCTTCTACTTCTTCGCTCGGCCCCGAGAGATGCGCCCGTAATCCTGGCCGCGATTACACTTGGGACCCTTGCCTGACTTGCCGCCCTTGGCCTTGCCAGACTCGCGGGCCTTGCCGCATCCGCGCCCTTTGCCCCTGCCGCCTTCGCCGTTTCCTCTGCTGCCTCGACCGCGCCGAGCTCCACCTCATTTGCGATGCATGCAGAATCCTTTCATTGTGGCTTATACTTCCGCAGATGCAGCATCCATCCTTGCCGCTGCCACCGCCGTTGAACGCCGAGGGGTCCATGGGCGCCGCTCCGCGGGCGACCGCTGCCGCTGCTGCTTGGGCCCGCCTCGCGTTCAAGATCTTCTTTTCGAGACTTCGACCGCCCCCTCAATCTCTCCGCGTCCATGGGCGCGCGCTGTTTCAGCGGTGACTCAACAAACTGTCGAAGAACAATGCCGGTCCTGATCGCGTCGCTCAGGGTCTCGTCGGAGGCTGAGTCGTGCAAGCTGGTTCCTCCCTCGAATGCTTCGAGCCGGACCATCATCTCTAGTGCCATCAACTGCCATGCGTATCTGCTCGCTGCCTGGGGTTCGAATGGCAGGTGCAACTGTCGCCGTGAATATTTCTCGGTTGCCCTCGATCAGCACCACGTCAATCGCCGGGCTTCCACGCGTCTGGCTGAGCCAATAACCGCATGTCCTCTCGAGCTGCTCGTTGCCAGACTCGAGGTTGGCTGTGAACTGGGTCTGCTGATCTCTTTGCGTTTGCCATCGCCGCGGACATGTTCGGGTTCGTAAGTCCTACGAAGGCCTTGAAGATTCCTGACCAATCTCGTCGCCGCGGCCTGGCTCCGTCGAACATCTCTGGTTAGCAAAACATCTTCGTCTCTGCGGCCGTCCTCTCGGGTCCAGGTCAACCGGAACTGCTTCTGCAACCGATGCCGGTTGAACCGTTCGATCTCTGATGCCTGGGCGGCGCCCGTCGCTTGACCTGCCGCGTCGCAGTTCTGCTTGAACCTGTTCCAGGGTTTGGCGGGGGGCCTGAACACTTGAACTGAGACCATGTCGGCGTTGTTGTTTAATCTCGTGCCGCAATCGTCCTGGATGTGCCCAGCACTGACTTTTGACTGCCAGACGGGCTAGGTTGCGGGGGAAGCTCGCCCACGTCCACATCACCCTCAACTCGTCGTCTAGTAACTCGAACTCGTCCTCCGCCGCCCGCGCTCTGTCTAGCTCCTCGCCCAGATCCGCTGCCCGCAATCGCTCTCGGGGCGCTAGGGCGACCCGCTGCCGTGGATGATTGATTCTCCCCAAACGCTCGAACCAATCTGTTATACAGCCATTGTCTCATCCTTCTCTCCGCTTCTCGGGCTGCATATCAAACATATCGAGATGGACCCTGCCCGCGGTCCCCGTCCCTCTGATCGTGAACGGGCTCCTTCGGCAAACCGCCACCGGCAAGCAGAGCAGTCCACCCTCGCCAGGATATCGCTGGACTCCACCCCCCGCCGCGGTAAGCAGCCCCCCCTCTCCCCGGAAGACATGGCCGGTGAACTTTGATCAAGCTGACGATAATGGCATGACCAGCCATAATTGGATCGGAAAAATGTAACGGATCGGAACGCGCGCCGGGTCGGGCAGCATCGTCCGCGCCACGATGCACAACGGCGCCGCGGGAACACTTGGCCGCATCGGATCGTCGGAATATCGGAATCGGATCGGGACAGCTTGAAGCGATGCTGACTTGGATCGCTCGGATCGAGATGGGCCCTGGTAAATGCGTTGTTTTCTGCTCCGGCGCAGCAGCTGGTCCTCAGGCCGGACGCCATGCCCGTGTTCCGACATTGCTGCCGCCTGGGTCGCGACGCCACGCGGTCAAACTTGCAGAGCCGTGAGTTGGTGAATTTCTCCTAGTCCGAATGAGGAACCACGGCGACCAATGGGAAGAGTGAGGATGGGGGGGGGGAGGGGAGCACCCAGTAGGGGCTATCCTCTCTATTTTTCGCTATCCTTCGCTCTCTCGCTCTTTCGCTCTCTCTCTCTCTCTCTCTCTCTCTTTCTCTCTCTCTCTCTCTCTCTCTCTCTCTTTTATCATCTCTCTCTCGTTGCACAATACGCATGCTAACCATAGCATCGTGAGCCGAGGGTTGCATAGAATATGCATGAGCATGACCCACGCCGCTGCTATCCCCGAAAATAGTGTCAGGTACCTTGCAAAACAAAAAAGCCTGCTCGTTTGAGGCTATAAGACTGTGCTCTGTTAAGAGGCTGGAAGTGACGAATAGTGGCAGCCGAAGGGAAGAAACCCCAGGGGGTGGGGCAGCAGCAGGGCTCGCGATGGGCCTGCTCCTCGTCCTGCTTCTTGAAGTTCTTGTTCTCGACCTGCAGTTCCTTGGCAGCCTTGTCCGCCTGGAGCAGCCCTCCTCACCCCAGCCGCCCCCTCTCCTGATCCAGCTGGCCCACAAAGGACATACAGTCAACCCGTATAGCAAGAATGCGCGTTAAGGATGCAAGGGCCTTGGAAAACCATGTCGAAACTTTCCGCGCGGGGCGCGGCCAACGAAAGTGGCCAAGGATGGACCGAGGAGGCAAGGATGCAAGGGTACCCTTGGGAAGGCTGCCCATCCTTACTAGGCGGGTTGACTGTACACGCCCACCCATGCACATGAACACGGCCGCCACATCCGCGAGGGCAGCCTCAGGTTACGCACCTTCGCGCAGTGCGTTAGCCTGGGAGGGTACCCCCCCGACGGAGGTCGATGTGGGGCTGTCGGCGGGGTGATTCCCCCCCGACGCTGATTAAGAAACCCGGAGTACCCCACCACCCCGCGATTTCTGAGGGGGGAGATGGGGGGGGGGTCACTTCGTTCGGGACCTCCCGAGCGATGTGACCCCCCCACCTCCCATTCAGGAATCGTGGGGTGGTGGGGTAGGGTTCGCATGTGGCCTCCTGATAGGGGTGCCCCTGCAGGGCTAGGCTTGTTCTAAGCCCTCGTGCCAGCTTTGTGGCAGGACCAGTCGACATCGACTTGGGAGATCGGAGTGTATCGGAGTACTCTCGAAACCAACGTTGACTCACGGTCGTGTACGTCCTTATGTCGCTCCTGGTTCATCAACTGCGCGGGGGGCGCGACAACGGCGCCGCAATACCTCCCTGGTCCCTCCCCGCTACCCCGTAGCCTGACGAGCGCCGATCCGGCTCCGTGAATAGGTCCTCAGAGCACGCGAGCGCACACGAGCCATACAATGTCAGCCAGCGTGGGCCCCAAGCAGCATGCTTCTACTCAGCAATCGATGCTGTGCAGTATACGTGGCGCGCCTCAATCACATAACAAAAACAAACATCCACCCCAAGAGACGATAGAGCAAGACCGAACGTCGTCAGCCTGCATCCGACCGACTGGCCCCTCTCCTCGCCTCCTATCTGGTAGACTCCCCTCCCCTCTCCGTCGACACGTTTCCACTACTCTCCCCTGCCCTCTCCTACCCGTTTCCTTCCTCCTCCTCCTTCTCCACCTCTCCCTCACTCCGCCGCCTTCTGAGTCTCCCGCGCTTGCATCTCCTGCAATCCGAACAATTTCGCTCCCCTACCTCTCCTGCACCCTATTTCTCCCATTGCTTTTCGGCCTCCTCTTCCGAGTCCTTCCCCCCTAAGCCTCCTCCTCCTCCTGCTGCTCCTCCTCCTTTTCCTAGAAGCTCAAACGAGGCCTACCCCCTGAGAAGCTGTGCAAGGAATGGGGTCATCACATCGACGGCGAGACTGAATCCCACCTGGTCTGCACTGCGCGGGTGATTTAGAGGGTTCCTTCTTCAGACCCCCTTCTTCCCCTTCGGGGAGGGGTTTATCACTGTTCCTTACACGCCGGTCGGAAGAAGTAGGCAAAAAACATGAAGTAGGAAGGCGGATTAAGTTGATTGGGTCCAGCCCACCCCCCAGGGAATAACAACACACAGCAAAGCCGTATCGGTTCTTGAAGTAGGAAGGCGCTTGAAGTAGATTAAAATCTGGAAATCCAATCCAAAAATACCTACTTTCAACGACTGGCGTGTACTATTAGACACACCCTCCACCAGGCGACCGGGGGCCAACCAAGCACCATGCCAACACCATGCCGACCCGCCCCCACCATCCGTGTCAAAAACAAGACAAGCCTCACGCTGCCTCCACATTTGGAGCATGCGCGGCCGACCCGATGCGTCCCCTCCTCCCCCACCATTCCTGTCAAAAAGAAGTGCGACGTGTACTTGGGGCCAAAGTCTGGAGTAATGGTTGAGAGGCCCGCGAAGACATTGTCGTGTTTTTGACAAGGACGACGGGGGTGTGAGCACATTCCCTGCTGTGCGCAGGGTTACCATCCCTGACAAAACAACAATATAACATGCACCTCGCGGCTAAATCTGCATCATGCGCGGCCATCCCGCAATGACGGTCAAGTGGTTTTTGAGAGGGACGGCGGGGGTGGTGGCGCGTGGCCTGCTGTGCGCAGGCCCACCAGACACAATGATGGGCATCGGTGTTCGACAAGGACGGCGGGGGCCGACATGTTTCCCGATGTTTGCTGCCACGTGCGCAGGCGCACCTGACGCACTCTGCACGTGCCCCGAACGCGGCGCTCCTGGCGCGGCTCGAGTGTGCGGCGCCCTTTGCGCACTCGGAGCACGTGGCGCATCTGGCGCACCAGGCGTACCTGCCACGCTCGGGCCCCAGGGGTGCCTGGCGCGCGTGGCGCCCCTGGCACGCGTGGCGCACCTCGCCCAAGCGTCGCGCACCTGGGGTCGGCTTTGGTTCCCAGTAGCTGTCCATCCAAAGACGACTGCTGACCATGCTTATTCTCGGGTGCTACTTGTGTGTAGCCAGGGCGGGTGGGAGTGAGCTAGACGGCTTGCGGGCGGGCGGGTAGCTTGACCTCTCCCCCGAGCCCAGAATCGAATCGACAAGTCGGATCGGTGATCGACATGAATCGGATCGGCAGAAATCGGCAGCCGAGTCGGGAGAAGCCGGATCGGCAGAACTCGGCAGGCCAGTACAGGCCTCCATGGAGGATTCGGCATCCGAATCGGCATCCGAAGTCGAATCGAATCGGCATCGGAGGCCATCGAAATCGGGATCGGATCGGACGAATCACAGCGCCCCCGCGGTGCGCGAGGCGCGGTCACCTGCGCGCCCTCGCCAAGCTACCTCGGAGCCGGGCAGCTGCCTGGCCTGGGCCGCGGCGCGCGCAGCGCGGCGCTCTCTCGGCGCCCCTGGGGGTGACCCAGACCTCGGCGCAGGTCGGGCCTGTCCTCCTACAGGCGGATCTTGGAAGAAAAATCCACAAGAGCCCCAACATGATTTCTCAGGCATAGGAATAAAAGCATCGAATAGCGTACCCCGACAATGCTTTATGATCCTTGGGCATTCCTCCTGCAGAGGGACTCGCCCGACTTAACCCTGGACTCCAAATGCAGCGCGCACGAGCTCGACGACGGGCGCCGCAAGGGGGAACCGAGAGGCCCGCCTTGGAGTCGGCCATGAACTCGTCGTACTCTTTCTGCGCAGCCGCCTCCGCGGCCTTGGTGTCCGCCTGAGGGCCCAGGGACTGCTCAGTGCGGCCCGTGACCGCATACAGTCGGGGTTGATTGGAGGGGACACGCGGGAGGATACGAGGCCCTTCCGAGGGTCACGTTGGCATTGGAATGTGGAAGGAATGGGTCGCGAAGCAACACAGGACAAAAGGATACCCCTGATTTGGGAAGGTCGACCTACTAACAACCAACCTCGACTGAGTCGACAAACTCGGCACTCGACCGCGCAAGTGCCGCAAAGGAGTCGCCGGAGGCCTCCGGAGGTCTCCCGAGGTCCTTCCTTGGTCGAGGGTTGCGTTTCTTTGTTGCCAGATGCTAGGTGCCCCTGGCCCAAAGGTGTCCCGAGCCGTTCGCCCCGTTTTGGAACCTCTGAGGCTCTCTCGGCCTCGTGTGAGGTGCTGAGGCCGTGCACGGGCCCTTCTCTGGGAAGCCCGGGCGCGCCTCGGACCAGGGTCACCGCTGGCAACCCCCGACCTGGGCGGAGGCCCACGTGGTCGACTCTCCAGCAGCCTCCCGGCGCCGGAAAGAAGGAAGTGCCTTGCGGGGGGGAGGACAGCGTGCTGCACGCATCTGAATTCGCATCCCCCCTTTCTCAATCCCACCCCCGACCCCCCGTTCGACCAAACGCCGTTCAACATCAGTGTCCAGGGATCCACGCTGGCCACTTTCTCGAGCTGAGTCTAGCCATGACGACGAGAACCTCCAGGAACTCCCCTCAACATTGAAACGGCGACGTCGAAACTCAAGCATCCCCCTTTTCCTTCTCGTGCGCCAAGGAGGGAAGCTAGAAACATGTGGGTTCGCGCATCATGGCCCGCGCTGCGCATCATCCGCGCTCAGAACATGTGGGTTTGCGCATGTGGGTTCCGTAGCCATTCGGGGTCCAGCCGTTTTGGCTCAAGAACCTGATCCCCGTGGGGGGGGACTGCCATGGCCGTGGGCTCAAGGGCCCACCCGCAGTTTTGGCGCAGGGCCGCGCGCGCCGCGGCGCGGCGCATGCAAGGCCTGCTTCGGGGGTGCTTGGCGGGCCTGGCACCTGGCAATGACGCCGTGGTGGCGGAGGCCGCGGGCGAAGAAGGCAGCGGCGGCGGCGAAAACGCGCCCCGGCCGGGCGCCTCGGAGCCGGCCCCCGCGCGAGGCACCCGCGACGGGAGGCGGCTGCGGAAGCGGCGGCGACAGCGGAGCCGGCGCGGGCGGAGCAGGCTCCGAGGCCGGCTCCGACGACCCCGCCGCGGCGCGGGTGCCAACCACCCCCCGGCGAGGCGCCGAGCCAGCGCGGCCGCTCGGCGTCGGAGCTGGCGCCGCTGGCGGCGGCGCCGGCAGCGCGGGCGGCCGCGCTGCCGCGGCCGCAGACGCAACCGCCGCCTCCACGGCCGCGACCGGCGCTGCGCGCGCGGCGGAACGGGCCGGCTCCGCCGCGCGCCCCCGGCCCGCCGGTGGAGCTGGCGAGGGGCCCGCGGCAGGCCCGGTGGCTGAGCCGCGGCCCCAGGCGCCGGCGCCAGCGCCCCCGGAGTGGGGCAGCGACGCCCGCGGCGACCCCTACACATACACGACGTACGACGGGGGCTGGCGCAGCGGACGCGCCAGCGGCAGCGGCAGCGGCAGCCCCGCCCCCGGCGGGGTTGAGCACAGCAGCGCCTCGAGCAGCAAGACCTGACCTGACGGAGCAGCAGCAGAGGCGGCAGCATCAACACGGGCGGACGGCGCTGGCGGCGCCCACCGCGCATCGCCCGCCGCGCAACGCCCGCCACGGGGCTGCGGCAACTGACGGCTCCGGGGCAGCTGGCACCGGCCTCGGGGGCGACGAACACGCACGACGCTCCGCGACGGACCCGCTGGAGCCGGCTGCGCCAGGCGTGCCCCGCGCGCGCCTGGTCGCCGCGGCACTCCAGCAAGCCAGCTGGGAAAACTTCTCGGCGACGGACTGGCCAGAGGGGCATGCACTCCTGCGCTGGGCCGCTGAACCCGAACACCCGATCGCGGGCTGGCCCGATCGCGGGCTGGACCGATCGCGGGCTGGGCCTCGCGCAGCTGGCCCGATCGCGGGCTGGCCGGGCTGCGGCCCAGGTACGGTGGAGCTCGATCAAGGGGGATTCCCCCATGGAGCAAAAGTGCGAGGCGCTTCGCGGCGGGCCCGCTGCGCAGGAACGGGAGCAATTGCGCCGGCGCCCGCGGCGCCCCGCGGCGGGGCTAGCCCGCCAGAGGCCTCCGGCCTGCGCTCGCAAGCCCAGGTCTCGGCTTAAGTCGGGCGTGTCCCCCTACAAGGGGATTTCCGATGAAAAACAAAACATACTCAAAAAATACTCTCAAAGTGTCAAAAAATATTTATAAAAAATGGTCCCCAGATTATTTTTTAACTATTTTTGAATATCCCCCCTGTAGAGGGACAGGCCCGACTGAAGTCTCGGCCTGGAAGGCGACGCCGGGTCGGCCTGCGCAGCGGCGCCGCCGCGCCGGCGAGGCCCCTCGGCCTGCTGCGACAACGGCAGGCCGCCGGCCGGCGACGAGGGCGCGGGGGCCCCGAGGCGGCGGCGCGGAGGACGCCCCCTTCTTCCTCCCCGTCGCCCCTTCGTCGTCGTCGCCGTCGTCGTCCCTTCGTCGTCGTCGTCGTCCCTTCGTCGTCGTCGTCGTCCCTTCGTCGTCGTCGTCCCTTCGTCGTCCTTTCGTCGACTGTCTGTCGCGTCGTCCCTCCGTCGTCGTCGTCGTCGTCGTCGTCGCCTCAGGTTCCTCTCGGCTGGCAAAAAATGCGCGGGCCACGGGAAACCGGGGACCGCACTGAAAGAAGACGGGGGGACTGAAATCTGATAACGTTCGCGGTCGCGGCCAATGATTTCACGCACACACACACACACACACACATACACACGCACACGCACACACACAGCCCCCTGGCTTCCGAGGAGGATGCACGGGGAGGAGCGGGAAGAAGGAGGGAGGGCGGAGGAGGGGGAACCTGCTGGTAGAGATCACGCCCCCCTGGCCTTCCAAGGAAAGGGGGGGGCGATCCGCCTGGCCCCGAAGCCCTGGCTGCTTTTCGGCGCCTGCTGGTTGTCGAATCGTGACTCGGGCGTTCGGGACGATTCGGGCCCCCCCGAGCTCTCGACGAGACGCAACTACTGGAGAGCATCCCGAAGAAACAACCTTCAACCCCCTCATCCTTGCATGGATCTCACATTCACTGAAGCAGCCCCCAAGCCCCAAGGGGAGGAGGGAAGAGGAGGAGGAACAAACAGTATAGAGGAGGAGGGTGAAAGAGGAGGGGGGAGGAGGAGGAGGAGGAGGAGGAGGAGGAGGAGGAGGAGGAGGAGGAGGAGGAGGAGGAGGAGGAGGCGGAGGAGGAGGAGGAGAAGAAAAAGGCAAAGAAGGGAACAACAAAAGGAACAGAAAATTACGGGGCCATAGAAAGGCGACCGAGTCACGGGGACCACTCTAGGAACACATGGATCCACCGCCCCCAAAGGGGGCAAAACAGAGGGCGAGAAACCCAATAACAGAAGGGCATGGCATGCCTGAAGCCGTCGTGGACGACAGTGTACGCCCAGAGCGCGACCCCGAAGGCGGTGGCGGGCGCGTCCGCCACGGGCCGCAGGAACCAACCGCCCTCCAGCATCGCGATGGGCCCCGCGCCCGCGAGGCGGGGGCCAGCAGCTCCACGAAGAGACGCACGACGAGCAGCCTCCGCGCTGAACTCGGCCACGACGGAGGCGATGTGATCGAAGCCGGCGCCCGCAGCAGCAGCCGCCACCACCCTCGACTTCAGCGCCTCCTCCGAGAACTGCGCCACGGGCGGCGGGGCAGCAGCACCAACAGCAGCCGCCAGCGCCAGGGGCTCCGCCGCTTCCGCAGGCGGCGCAGCCGCCACCTCCAGCACGTCCTCCTCCATGGCCAGCGGCGCCGAAGGAGCCGCACGCGCCCCATCCGCCCAACTGTCGCCGAAGCTCGCATGCGACGGCGGCCCAGCAGGCGCACCGCCACGAGCTCCATCGCCGCCGCCGGCCACAGCCGTCGGCGGCAGCGCGGCGGGCGCCGCGCCTCCCAGCCCAGCACCCGCAGCCGCACCAGCGGCATCACCGACGCCGACAGCAGCAGCAGCAGCAGCAGCAGCAGCAGCAGCAGCAGCAGCAGCAGCAGCAGCAGCAGCAGGCGGCCAAGCGCGCCCGTCGGCGCGCCGCTCCGCCTTCGCCTCCGTCGGCTTCGGCTTGTCCTTTTCTTTCTCGCCGACCTGCTCGGCAGCCACCTGCACGCGCGGCATGGCCACCGCAGCCGATTCCGCAGCGGCCACCGCCGCGCGGGCGACGGCAGCGATGGTGAGTCAATGGGGCGCGGCCCACCACGGCGGCGCGGACGGCAGCAGCAACCAGCGTTGCGCCGTCGAGCGTTGGGAGGGCCCCTCTAGCCCGCAAACCGGCCGCCTCGGCGGACGGCGGCGCGGGCATGCGATCGCTTGAGCCAAAATGGAGAAGGAGGAGGGGGAGGAAGAGGAGGAGGAGGAGGAGGAGGAGGAGGAGGAGGAGGAGGAGGAGGAGGAGGGGGACGACGAGGAGGGGAAGGACGAACGATCCCCAAACGACCCCGTGTGACTGATCTGGGGCACCATCCTCGAGGTCCGCGGGCGGCCGCGCGGTGCGCCTGTTTCTTTCTGTCGCGGGGCGCGGCGGCGGCGCCCGCGGTATTACACCGCCCGCCGGCAGTGGCACGGACACCCGGCGGCAGGACGGCGGGACGGGCACCCGGCCGCGTGCTCGGGGCGGCGGGGACGGACACCCCGGGAGGGCCCCGAGGACAGTGAGACGTTCGGAGCACAGCGAGGTGAGACAATGGCAGCTCAAAGTCGGTCTCTGCACCCCTGCCAGGGACCGAAAACACCAGTTGTCCGACTTGCGCCTGGACGCGGCGACGAGAGGGCTCCCCGAAGGCCAACTACTGCTGTCTCAACTGGCCATCCTCCGAGGCACCTCCGAGCACTTGCTCCCCTGGCACCCGCGTGCACCTGGTGGTGGG